TGGCCAAGAGCGGGGAACAAAGACCAAATGAATATTTCTTATTATATCACACAGCCCCTCCCTGCTGTCCCGCCCCTCATACCACCAGCACCTACTGTGTGCTGGGCAGTGAATATGCAGACATGAGACGTGTGATTGCTCTCAGAGAGCTCACAAACTAGGCAGTAGTTTTTAAGAAAATTTCATCACAACCCCTAGTATGAAGATACATTTTATATCATGATCCAGTTCATACACACATAACTAAAACAAAGTTTCAGAACAATATATATGACTGATCACAATCCACTCACTGTATTGACTTCATGACTTACTAATAGGACACAACCTTCATTTTTTTCTAGTTTATGAAGGCATCATTTACATACAGTAAAATTTACTCTTCCTAGGTATACTGTTATATGAATTTTGACAATCTTTATGCAGACATTCGACCACCACGGCATCAAGATGGAGAATATTTCTATCTCTCCACAATATTGACTTGTGCTTATTTGTAGCCAGTCTCTTCTCCCCAACCTGGCCCTGAAAAACCACTGATCTGATTTCTGTCTCCACAGTTCTGCCTTTTCCAGAATGTTATACACATACAATCATGTAGCACCTAACCTTCTGTGGCTTCTTTCACTTAGCATCATGCTTTTGAAAGTCATCTGTGTGCTGGTGCATGTTAGTAGTTAGTTCCTTTATATTGCTGAGTTGTATTCCATTGTATGGATGTACCATAATTTATCTATTTACATTTTAGTTGTTTCCAGGTTTGGGTAATTATGAATAAATCTGCTATAAACACTCACATACAAGTTTTTGCATGGACATATGTCTCCATTTCTCTGGGATAAACATCTAGGAGTGGGATCAATGTGGGTCAGGTGATTTGTATGCCAAACTATTTTCCACGGTGATTATATAATTTTTATTCTCACCAGCAACGTATGAGACTTTCTGTTGCTCTGTGTGTACTCACCAGCATTTAGTATTGTCAGATTTTTTTATGAGTCATTTTAATGTAGTAGTATCTAACTGTGGTTTTAATTTTCATACTCTAATGACTAATGATGTGGGACATCTTTTCATGTGATTGTTAGTCATCTGTATATCTTCTTTGGTAGAGTATCTGTTAGATATTTTCCCATTTTTTACTTGGGTTGTTTTCTTACTGAGTTTCGAAAGTTCTTTATATATTCTCGTTAACAATCCGATAGGTGTTCTGCAAATGTTTTCTCTCAGTCTGTGTCTTACTCTTTCATTTTCTTAAGTGTCTTTTAAAGAGCAGAAGTTTTTCATTTGGATGAAGTCTAGCTTATCAATTATTTTATAGTTTGTTACTGGATAGGTAGAGTCCTAGCCAGGAAATCTTTCCCTAACCCAAAGTCACAAAGATTTTCTCCTAGATGTTGTATAGTTTTAGATTTTACATTTAGTCTATGATCCATTTTGAGTTAATTTTCCATCTATGATGCAAGAGATGGATCCAGGCTCCTTTATTCCCCCATATGGATGTCCAGTGATCTGCACCATGATAAAGCCAGGGAGGAGAGCCGTGTGCACAGCAGATCCCTGCCCAATGGAATGGTGAGTGCTGCATGATACCAGGGAGCCTGAGATCTGTTGACCTAGTAGAGATCTAGGGACAATCTTGCAGAGGCAGTGACTCATAGGCTGGGCCTGAAAAGTAGACAGCAGAGAAGGTGGAGAAGGTAGAAAGGTTGGTGGTATAGGGAGAGCAAGGCAGGACAGGTGACAGCGTGAGGGACTCAGTGGCATCTGGAGTACCAGCGCCTGGAGTGCATGGAGGGCAGGGTTAGAGATGAGAAGGGAAGAGCAAGGTGGTCTAGGCAGGGAGTAGTGCTTCAGGAAGGTCAGTCCACAGATCGAAATGGAAGGTGGGCAGAAGGGAGCTGAGCGAGGATGTAGGGTGTAGCAGGAGTGGGGATGAGCCTGAGCTCTGAGAGTAGTTATAGGATGCGTTCCAGAAGACAGAGTCAAGACAAACCGCAGGGCTGAGAAGTCAGGGCTACCTCCCCAGTCTTGGGCCCAGGCACTTGGGTAGCTGCAAAGAGCTCACAGCAGGTTTGGGGCAGAGGAGTTCTGTGTTAGGCTTCTGGTACCTGTGGATATCCAGGTGGAGGTGGCCAGGAGGCAGCTGGGTACACATGGGGGGCTGTAGCTCAGAGGTGTTCATTCGTCACCACCTGACTGCAAACCCTCCACCACACTCATAAGCTCCTCAGCCCCCAGGGGTGCCAGTTTCCGCCCCTCGTGTCGTGTCATTTCACAACAGGGCCTGTGGATTTATGATGATGGACACTGGCCCTGTGACTAGAAAAGAGGGGCTTGTAGGACTGAGCTCCGTGACTCAGTTGGTATGGAGAGAACACCACTGAGCCCCCTGGCCAGCCTCTGCCCCAACTGCCTGTGTAACCCTGTGCTGCTCTCCCCAGACAAATGACTGGGAGCCACAATGCCATGGAAGGAGCAAGAAAGCAGGTGCTCTGCTGCTTTTCCCAGCAGAGAAATAGGATTTTGGGCACCCACCCCGGGGTAGCTACTGACCGCCTCCCCCTGCAGCAATGCTCTGAGCAGTCAGCACTAATGCACAGAGGTGTGGGTCTGCCCTGCTGTCAGGAAAAGCAGCCCAGCCTCTCTGACGCCTGATCCTGCCCTTTCTGTGAAGCTGAGCCACTTCACAGAGCCTGGGCCTGAGACCGAGTATTGGGGGTCAGAGGTTTAAGGAGAAAGAGAGACTGAAAACTAGAATATGCACATTACTATTTAGAAAGAAAAGGGGTTGGCCAGGCGCCGTGGCTCATGCCTGTAATCCTAGCTCTCTGGGAGGCCGAGGCGGGCGAATTGTTTGAGCTCAGGAGTTCGAGACCAGCCTGAGCAAGAGCGAGACCCTGTCTCTACTAAAATTAGAAAGAAATTAATTGGACAACTAAAAATATATATAGAAAAAATTAGCCGGGCATGGTGGCACATGCCTGTAGTCCCAGCTACTCGGGAGGCTGAGGCAGGAGGATCGCTTGAGCCCAGGAGTTTGAGGTTGCTGTGAGCTAGGCTGACGCCACGGCACTCTAGCCCGGGCAACACAGTGAGACTCTGTCTCAGAAAAAAAAAAAAAAAGAAGAAAAGGGGTTGGAGGAGACTAGAGTCCTGGGAAGAGGGAAGCAGGGAGGAAAAAGAAGATTCTGGAATGAGTAAGGGGGTGACCCACTCCTGAGTCCAGCTTCTGCCTGGGTCCTCTGGAGAGAGAACTGGCCAGATCTGCCCTGCACCCCAGCACCCTACCCAGCTGTGGCTCCGAGGCCAGTCTGTGCTCCAGCAGCCCCCTCCCTGCAGTTTGCCGCCCTCCCCGCTGGGCCTCCCCACTGTCTCACAGCCCATCTGCTCTAGGCTTCTGCTCACGAGCCTTTGTAACTTTGTCGCAGGCACATTTCTCTCCAGACACTCCAGATGGTTAATGCCTTTCTGCAGCATCAAAGTGCCCCTTTCGACTGGGAAGGAATTGCTGGGGTCCCCACCCCAGAGAGTTGAGCAGGGCAGCTGAGCATCTCCCACACCTGGCATGGCCCCATCTCTGGGAAAAAAGGGGTCTCAGTGCAGTCAGCCTCTATAGAAGGCAGACATGTCGAGAAGTGCTTGCCACCTCTGCTGGGTGACTTTGGGGAAGTCCCCCTCTTGGGCCTCTGTTTCCCCATCTAGGCATTAAGCATACTTGGCAGGATGGTTCTTGATATACCAGGATTCATTCCTGACCTGCTCCCACAGCTCTTGGTATGTCTGTCTTGTCACTGAGCCTTCAGTGTGTCTTGTCCCCCCCACCAGCCTCAAGGGCAGCAATTCCTCTTGGTGTCCCCACCTGCCACTCTAGGGAAAGACTGCTGAATCCTTTGTGCAGGTTGGCTCTTGGGAAAGTATCATGTTGGAAGCTGGGAGGGTATATCCCCTGCTTTCTAGAACCTTTGTTGAAGGAGACTTACCAGCCGTAGACACTGGCAGCTGGGATCAGTGGGGGCCAAGGTAAGGAGTGGGTAGAGTGCCCTTAGGAGGGTGCTCCGGGCAGAGTCCCGCATTTGCCTTGACCTTGCTGCCAGTCTCAGAGAAGGTTGGAGTGCCATCATGACAGGCAAGGACAGTCCACCAGGAGCCAAGAACATATTCATGGCAAGGAAAGTTGGCCCAGGAGCAGTGAGAGTCTCGAAAGGACTGCTCTTTGGAATCCAGAGAGCTGAGTGACCCATCATGGGCCTGCTAAATAGATGGAAATGGCACTAACACGGCCATTCATTGAGAAAAATAATTAAATTCAGAGGCAGCACTGGTACAACAGAAGGAGCCCTGTGCCTGGAGCACCTGCTTTCCTGGCCCCACCTTGAGATTTTCAGAATATTTATTAAGTAGGTAGAGTATACCAATCTTTGGCTAGTAAGAATTTATACATCTTTCTTTTGTATAAAGGGACCTGAGTTTGAATCCTGACAAGACACTTCCCCTCTCTGAGCATGGGGCATGAATCCTGGCACAGTGTTCCTCCTCTGCACGGCAGGGATGGATGATGGTATTGTCCATGTCAAAGATGATACAACTACTATGTAAGCAAATATTTGTAAAAACACATAGTATAGCTTTCAGTCCAGGCACATTTTCCTTTCTTCCTGTAGACCAGGGGTTCTCTATTCTAACTGAACATTTAGAATTACCAAGGAGCTCTTTAAAAATACCATTGCTAGAGCCATGATCCAGACCAATTAAAATAGAATCTCTGGGGGGTGGGACTCAGACTTTGGATTTTTTGTTTTCTTTCTTCTTTATTTTTTTTTAAACTCCCTAGTGAATCTAATGTGCTGTATACAGTGTGGCAGTTATCACCCATTGATCAGATATTAATTCATTTCAACCCCAAGGAGTATAGGCTTGATCTACAATAAAGAGTTAAGAACCGTGACTGCCCAGATATGGTTGAGTAATAGTCATTTCTCATTTGTCTCCCTTTCTAGGACTACTTCCCAGCACCTCAGCCTCTTGCCATGTCCGACCCCATCACACTGAACGTCGGGGGGAAGCTCTACACCACCTCACTGGCAACCCTGACCAGCTTCCCCGACTCCATGCTGGGTGCCATGTTCAGCGGGAAGATGCCGACCAAGAGGGACAGCCAGGGCAACTGCTTCATTGACCGTGATGGCAAAGTGTTCCGCTACATCCTCAACTTCCTGCGAACCTCCCACCTGGACCTGCCAGAGGACTTCCAGGAGATGGGCCTGCTCCGCAGGGAGGCCGACTTCTACCAGGTGCAGCCCCTGATCGAGGCCCTGCAGGAGAAGGAGGTGGAGCTCTCCAAGGCCGAGAAGAATGCCATGCTCAACATCACTCTGAACCAGCGTGTGCAGACAGTCCACTTCACTGTGCGTGAGGCGCCCCAGATCTACAGCCTGTCGTCCTCCAGCATGGAGGTCTTCAATGCCAACATCTTTAGCACCTCCTGCCTCTTCCTCAAGCTCCTTGGCTCCAAGCTCTTCTACTGCTCTAATGGCAATCTCTCCTCCATCACCAGCCACTTGCAAGATCCCAACCACCTGACTCTGGACTGGGTGGCCAATGTGGAGGGCCTGCCAGAGGAGGAGTACACCAAGCAGAACCTCAAGAGGCTCTGGGTGGTGCCCGCCAACAAGCAGATCAATAGTTTCCAGGTCTTTGTGGAGGAGGTACTGAAAATCGCTCTGAGTGATGGCTTCTGCATCGATTCTTCTCACCCGCATGCTCTAGATTTTATGAACAATAAGATTATTCGATTAATACGGTACAGGTAAAAGGACCCCAGCAACACTGGAGAGGGGAAGTCCCAAGAAGCTTATGTCAGCCAAGGTCTTGGAGAGTGTCTCGCCAGTAGTGTGAGGCAGGGTACCGTACTAATCCATACTAACTGCATAGCAGGACTTGATTCCCCCGTGATGAAGTCCACCTTTTGGAATCCACATGTCCTCTGAGAAGAACCACCTTTTTTCTTGCCATTCTGAGCTGGAGATGGGCAGTTTATTATGACAGGTGAAGAGTCAGCTGATCTGTGCTAAAGGAGGCTACAGGAGGACTTTCTGGCCGGGACAAAGGAGCAGCAGTTCTCTTACGGGCTCCATCTCTGTCTGCGCCACTAGCCAGTGCCGCATTTACCCATCTGTGAAAAGGCCCCTGGAAAGGATACGGGATGAGAACAAGTTTCCCTTTGGTCTCCCAGAACATGAAGTGCCCAGTGGTCCCCATCACACCTGCTCTTCCCTCCCCTCGGTTGCATCCAGAACCTTGGACTTGTTTGCCCAGGGGCGACCGTGTTTGGCTGGCTTGGAATGCAGTGTGTTCTCAGAGCTCTGTCAGCATCCCCACTGGGGGAGAGAGCTGAGCTGTGCCATGTCCAGAGGAGGGGGTGTCCAGGCAGGGTTCAGAAGGTGGGGATGTCCCCTCGACAAGGCCGAGTCTAAGCATTTCTGGCTTCAGAAGTGGGCTGCTGTCCCTGCGAAGATACGAAAGTATCTGGAACCAGTGTGACATGCTTCAGAATCCAGTCTGTTGCCTGACTTTCATAATTCTTTTCCCAAAAATTTGAGGTCCCATTGAAACAGGTCATTTTAAAGAAATGTATTATGGATTCTCAGGGTTGGAAAATAATTCAACAACTGCTTGGTCCTGCCCTGCCCCAAGCACACCCCAGCACATGTGGGGGTCAGCACCTCTCCCTGAGTACCTCCAAGCAGTCACCTATGCCTGCTTGTATACCTCTGGTGACAGGAAGCTCGCCTTCCCCAGGGCAGTTCCTGCCATGGTTGGATGGTGCTGACTGTTAGAAAGTTCTTCTTCATATTGAGCCAAAATCTGTCCTGCCGCTTTGATGTGCTGGATCTTGGTTGCAGACCTTCTTTCTCACCCCAATGTGTATCTTCACTTTCAGAATAGTCACCCTAAGAGGCCAGATGCTTATTCTGAAAATATCGTTACTCAGAATTCGGATTCCCCTTTGGGATCAGTCTTCAGAATCAAAGTCGCTCGTTTCCATCCCCTGTCAGTCCTTTTGTTACAGCTTCACCTTGTTTGTGACCCCACTTCACCCACCTTCCCCACCAGCCATGGCTCCACATGCCTTCTTGACCACTGTTGGAAGCCCCTGAGGAGGTCCAGAGGAAAGAGACAGGATCTCCGCAGGCAGTGTGCAGCGAGGAGCCCGGGAGTGGTCCGAACCATAACATTGCCCTTGGAGTGAGTCTCCAGCCCCTAAGACACTGCTCTCAGGGAGGCGGCCTTCCCCTGTAATACTGTGTCTAGTTGTAACTAGCCCGTGGGTCTCCTTGGGGTGCCATCCAGGACAAGCAACCCTAAGCCACTACTTCCTATCGGGTGATGAGCCATGCAGGCCTCCAAACTGCACGTTATGATTCACCCCTGGAGTGTGGCCTTGGGAGTCCTGCAGTCTTACCCACTGGGCAGGGGCCCTCAAAGCCAGGGAAGCCTGGTGACACAGGCACCCACGGAAGGTAGACCAGGGAAGGGGCTTCCCACGGTTATACCCTGTAAGCAGGGAGCTTGTGTGCTGGGCCGTGGGCAGGGCCAGGTCCCTCAGGCAATAAAGGCCTTTCCCCCCGACCACATTGGAACCCAGGAGTCTTTGTGACAGCTGTCCCAGGCCACCAGGCCAACATAACTTGGAAAAGCCCCTCAAGGAAAACCCAGTTAGACCAAGCAACAAAAGCTGTGACTACAACAAAACAATTCAAGGAAGAAATCTCATGAATCATCACTGCCCTTTTTTCTCTCCATAAAACTACTTTCACCATCTTGTGGTGCTTCCTAATTCAAGCAGCTTGACTTTAGGGAAATTACAGAACCTGTGAAGCCACTAACATGCTGTGTGACTTTGTGCAAGTCACTCACCTCACTGAGCCACCTCTGTTTCTTCATCTGTGAAATGGGCATAACAGTAATATATAACCCTACCTACCTCACAGGACTGTTGTGAGGATCAAACGAAATAATGTACATGAGAATACAGTATAAATGTTAAGTGACTGTTACCATTTTGTGTCTGCTTATGAGGGGGAGAAAAACACCAGTCTTAAGTCAGACTGGCTCGGGTTTGAATCCTGGCTGCATTTCTTACTCTGTGATCTTGGACAAGTCACTAAGCCTCTCTGATTTGTTTCTTCATTGGGTAACATCGCCCCTCCTCCCAGGTCATACAACTTAAATGCGTTGGTGTGTGTGAAAATTCCTAGCCAGGCCTGGCACATAGGAGCTCAGTAAAAGCTCGCCCTTACCGGAGGTGGTACCGGTGGACTCTTGTGCCAGGAACGGAGAGTCCCAGGAGAGTACAGTTTAACCAGCCCTTTCCGAGTACTAGGTGTGCAGGCTCTGAGGCTGGGAACAGCCACAAATAAGTTCAGCTAAATTCGCCTGGAAAAAGGTCAGGGCTTCACACAGTGTGCTGTGGGAACTCAGGGAAAGAGAGCCTCATAGAGGGCTGTGTGGAGGGTCGAGCTGTGCCTTTGGTTGGTTGGATTTTGTGACAGAATAAGCAAGGAGGGCACCATGGGTGCAGGGAACAGCAAGAGCAGGGAGCTGGCAGCCAGCCAGGGAGGGTGACCAAGGAAGGGTGTGCATTCACGCATATCCACAGCACTAGGGGAGCGACAGGTTGTACGTTCAAGGCAATCTCATCGCGCCCACATCTAACTTAGGTGAGTTCAGCCATCTGCTTAGCAAAATGTGAGAAAGGGAACAAACACTAAGCAGTGCCAGCAGCACCATCCCAGTGCTCGAGTGAGTGAGAGTGGGAGTGAACTGGGAGGCAGAGATGTGCTTCCTGTGAGCCCCTCACCACCCTGAGTGAGACCCAATGGTGATCTCACCCGGACTGAGTTTAGCCTTTTTTATACAGCCCAGGGCTTCATCCCAGCTGAAGGGGCAATGTCAGGCACACAGCACTTGCTGGCTCTCTGTTCCTGCCCTAGGTGTGGTCCCAGGCACGCAGAGGGATGGTCAGAACAGGTGCTCAGGGGAACCATAAGGCACCTTGGTATGACCGCTTCATGAGGCCTGCCACAAAACGGTCCCCGCATGCTCGGAAGCCAGCAGCAGCCGCCACCTCGGCCACCACTCTGTGATCTCACACCCTTAGGACCTCCAAAGGCCCTTTTCCCTTTTATGAAGGGCCACGCCTCATGACCCTGTTCTGCCTTTGGGCCAGAGCTCCCAGTGCAGGAGTGGCCAAGATCCCCCTTGTCCACACCTCAGACTTCGGAGCCCAGGATGCAGCCATTCTGTTTTGTAAACCGCTGTGCAGCCTAAATTATATAGCATTTGTGTAACTGCCCACTTATTTACCCCAAACTGCAGCTTCCTTTTATAGATTGCTCCTAAAACAGTCTGTTGTGAATAGGGGCTTAGCCACGGTCAGCCTTGGGCCAATTTCTTGGCTCATGTGGCCAGAGCACCAGCCCATCCCTGTCCTGAATTACAGTCTTTTCACACTGACCACCTGCGTCTGCCTGTGTCCCAGGGGGATCAGGCTGATGGAGGCAGTTGGCAGGGAAATGAAGCCCGTGATCATCTCTCAGAGCAAAACAACCTTGATAACAGGGCCATCAAAGGGAGGGGCTGGGGCCCATCTCCAGGCCCTGCAGGGTCCTGGCTCTGGCAGCTCCATTTGCCCAGACAGCCCAGTGACTTCAGTCTCCTTCAGAACCTTTGGGACAGTGTGGCACCAGCAGAGCTGTGGAAACAGTGTGGTGACACACCCCAGTTTGGATCACAAGGACCAAAGGGGACCCTGAGGAACATCAGCCTGTGGAAGCCAGAGAATCACCGAGTGACCCAAGACCACCCAATACAAAGGACTGCAAAACAAGCTTTGAGGTGGTACTGTCCGGCTCTGACTCTCAGGGGCAAGAAGTGCATACACAGCCTGGTGTATCTGACCCTTGCCACCCCCTTTCCTGATCCCATTTCCTGCCAACTTCCCTGCCATCCCCCAATATACACAGCATTCCAAAGCCTTTGTCAGCATTTCCCAGTTAGCTGGCAGCCCTAGAGTGTTCTAGCCTGTTCTCTTCCTTATGCCAGGCCTCTCCACCCAAAGCCAAGGTTCCCTTTTAGTAAACAGTTGGGTAAAGGCCCAGCTGAGATACATTTGAAATCCTCTAGGGCTGCAGTCCCCAACCCCAGGGCCACGGAGAAGTACCAGTCCGTGGCCTGTTAGGAACTGGGCCGCACAGCAGGAGGTGAGTGGCAGGCTAGTGAGCAAAGCTTCATCTGCATCTACAGCAGCTGCTCCCCACCGCTCACATCACCACATAAGCTCCGCCTCCTGTCAGATCGTCAGGCATTAGATTCTCATAGGAGCTTGAACCCTACTGTAAACTGCACCTGTGAGGGATCTAGGTTGCGAGCTCCTTCTGAGAATCTAATGCCTGATGATCTGAGGTGGAGCTGAGGTGGTGATGCTAGCACGGGGGAGCAGCAGCAAATACAGATTATCATTAGCAGAGAGGTTTGACTGCATAAAAAATGTAATGAGCTTGAATCATCCTGAAATCTTCCCCCACCTCCTGGTCTGTGGAAAAATTGTCTTCCATGAAACAAGTCCCTGGTGCCAAAGAGGTTGGGGACCGCTGCCCTAGGGATCTTGCCAGCCAAAGAACAAAGGTTCATGTGTTATGATATGGATACTGTCTCCCCCAATTGGTTCATTTTATAAATCCTATATTGGATTTGCTTCTTCAACACCCTTTTGTTTGGCACCTTATAAGTTGCCAAGCTCCTTCACATCCACAGTTTTCTTTCCCAGAAGCAAAGAATATGTCTTGCCATTCCACACTCCTGTCTGGGCTGCCCTTTACTACTTTGTCTTCATAACAAACATCTGCTCACCCTTCAACACTGTGTCCTGGCCTCCTCAGCTCCAAGCAGACCCTGTCCCAACCCGCTCTGTGCCACCCTATACCTGGTGAAGACTTTCATCAGTATACTGCAGTTGTTCACAGGCAGACTTGTACTGGTAAATAAAGCTCTGGTTTGTACTGTTGGCCACTTTCCATGGTGTAAAGTGTCACCATGGTGGATTTCAAGCCACCAATGAGATGTCACTGACAAGCTGGAAAAGAGGCACACATGGGTCTCTGGACAGCTGGAGTGAGCCAGCTCCAGCACCCATCATCCTTCTCACCGAACTACGAGCTGGTAAGGTGGTGACGACAGGGTTCTGTCTTTCCCTTTGCACCACCAGTGCCTAGCACACAGAAGGTGCTCAATATATGTTGGTGGGACTTCTGCCACCTCTGTTGCCTGGGCTAGAGTGCCATGGCATCAGCCTAGCTCACAGCAACCTCAGACTCCTGGGCTCAAGCGATCCTCCTGCCTCAGCTTTCCAAGTAGCTGCGACTACAGGAGCATACCACCATGCCTGCCAACTTTTCTATTTTTAGTAGAGACAGAGTCTCACTTTTGCTCAGGCTGGTCTTAAACTCCTGAGCTCAAGCGATCCACCCGCCTCTGCCTCCCAGAATGCTAGAATTACAGGCGTGAGCCACCGTGCCCAGCCTCAAACTCCTTCTTGAACAAAGTCTTTCTCAAACTAAAGTAGGCTGAAGAGAACACAATTTGGGAGTCAGGCTGCCTGGGATCAAAGCCCAGCCTTGTCACTTAACAGCTATGTGACCTTGGGCAAGTTACTTAGCCTCTCTGTTTCTTTGTCTGTATAGTGGAGATTACAGTATCCACCTCATAGGGGTGTTGTAAGGGTTTGATGAGGTAATATATCTGTAGCCTTTTGAACAGTTCCTGGAGTAAGCACTGTTGGAAAATATTATCACAACTATTATTATGATGATTTTCTGTCCTCGTCTTTCACTGCTGTCCTACTTGCCCACTCCCTCAGTGCCTCCTGCATAGTCCATGTGGATTTCCATCTCCTGACCTTTGCTGAAGCCACTCCCACTGCTCAAAGTGTCCCACACTCTCTCTTCTCCAGTGACTCACATCCTGTCCCTCCACAGTGGGTGCCCTTCTCACCCTCCACCCACCCTCTCACTGAGCCCTTCCTCCTCTGGTCTTCCAGTGCCCTTGGGTCTGGGAAACAGATCTCATCACATGTGCTGTTCATAGACCGAATGTCTGTGTCGCCCTAAAATTCCTATGTTGAAACCTAACCCGCAAGGTGATAATGCTTGGAGGGATGCTTTTGGGAAGTGGTTAGGTCATGAGGGTGGAACCCTCAAATAAGGGATTAGTTCCCTTACAAAAAGGGCCCCAGATGGCTCCTTTGCCCTTTCCACCATGTGAGGACACAGTGAAAAGATAACCTTGTATGAGCCAGAAACCAAGCCCTCAATAGATGCCAACCAAATCTGCCCGTGCCTTGATCTTGGACTTCCCAGCCTCCAGAACTGTAAGAACTATATTTCTGCTGCCCAGTTTACAGTATATTGTTATAGCTTCCTGAATGGGCTCTGTTCACAAACTCTGTTAAGCACCTCTTATACGCTAGGCCCAGGGCTGGGCTCTGGGAAATCAAATGTGACCCTGCACATTCCTCCCTCGGAGGAATCTGGTCGGGGAGAGAAACAGGCAAACAGATTCCAATATGCCGGCGAGTGCTAAGGTGGAAATCTGCTCCAGGTAGAGTGGACCACAGAGATAGGATGGCCAGCTTTAGCAATAGCCCCTCAATGTAGCCAGCACTTTACAGTTTATAAAGCACTTTACTTCCTTTTCTTCATTTAATCCTCACAGCACAGCTCTGAGAGAAGCTGTACAAGAGGTGCTTGTTTTTCATAGATGGGAAACTGAGGTTCAGGGAGGTGAAATGACTCACCTGTGGTCACACTACATGTAAGTGTAGTGCCTAGCACATAGTAGGCCCTAGCCTAGGCTAATATTAAATTGATTAAATATCAT